AAAATTTTTTTTTAAAATGTTGAAAGTTTGGGGGGGGGGGGGAATGAACCCAAAACAAAACAGCAGATGTTCAAGACACAGACTTCTATTTCCCCTTCCATGTGAAGCTTAATGGCAAAGATACATACTTTAAACAATAACACTTCCAAAAAGATAAAAATATATTGTTCACCCTGTTAGAAATACTAAACAAAAACTTCACATTGCTAAATACAGATAAGACAATCATATCGCTTTTCATAATCTATAACATCATGCCTGACGAGATAAGGTGCTTCCTTTTATTTCTTTCATTCACGTTTGTGTTACAAGTATAGAAACCCACTGACTGAGCAGTTTTGCTCCCTTGAGAATAAAACAGAACTTCACAAACAATCTTATAGATGCACTTAAAAATTTAGAATAGCTGGTACTTAATCTAAGAGCCGAGTCTTGTTAAACCCAGGTAGATCCTTTAACATAGTATACAATGTAAAGGGGAATAGACTCTGTCAGTGCAAGCCTATGATTCAAAATGACATCATTCCTATAGTTCTGAAAAAAACGAACAAAAATAAACTAATCCCATTAATTTAGGTAGCCAAAGATATCCGTTAATCCTTAGGCTCCTCAGCCTCCCCCCACAGCACCATGTATACACACAAGAGGTGTAATGTCAATTCGGTCTGGTCCCAGACCGCTCTGTGGAGCTGCACATTTTGAGTTATGACCATGCCCAGGTCTTGCAAGTTTAATGAGGTTCCTTCTCACACACACAGACACCACACACAGCGCCAACTGGGAAACAATAAAGTAGGATTACAGGTGTAGCTTCTTGATACGTTAAACCTACAGATAGAGTGAAAAGCTAATCTACATTTTTAGCCTAAGATTGGCAAAATCTTTCTTCATTTAACCACCATTAGAAACTCACCTTAATCTTCAACTTTTAACAAACCCAACCTGCAACACGGCACTTGATGTTAACAGAGCTGCATGAGAAGATTAATCAAAAGCTTTGTATGTCTCTCCTTACACAGGCCAAACACCAAATCAGTGTTAAATTCCTCACGTGCAGCTACGCCCAGTTAATCTGCTCAAAAGCAGCAAACTATGTAAATCTCCTTACACTGGCGAGATAAACATTACACTCATCAAAACGTAACAAGTACCACGGTTACTGGACAAAGCTGTTAAAAGCCACAGACGCACTGGGCTTCCTAAGCACCCAGGCTGTGGTAGGTGGGACCCCGCGTTCGCCTCCATCCCAGACCTCCAGAGCTGCTTCTGGCTTCCTCTTCGAGAAACCCGAGAGCAGAGAAACCTCCCTGCACAAAGCGATTTAAAATCCCTAATCAAATAGCTGCACTAGCTCTGGAGATTCAAGGAGCAGATGGCAGGAGAAAGCCTAATTTTCCATTTACGATAATCTTACAGAGTGTAGAAATATTTACTTCGGAGGAACGCCTCCCAATTTACATGAGAATAACAAAAGTGGGAGGAGGGACAGAGAATTATCACGTTCTCAGCACACACAAACTGAGAGCTAAGAAAGCCTGTATTAAGCAGGATATTGTATGTCATTTTGTTTCCTTCGCATTACTGATGCACACATGTGCACTCTTTGCATAGCTCGAGTAACCTTGTTAGTAAAAATACTAGCTTACGCCTACCTTTTTCAGATAGGATGCATGGTCATGAGCGTTGTGATAAGGTATTACTGCAGATACTGTATGGCTTTCATTCTTTAACTAGACCTGAATCTGCATTTCAAGTCAATTCTCAGATGAGTTGCCACACATTTAAGCAATGTCTAACTTTTAAGCCTGGTAGAAGTATTTTATTATACCTGTCTGCCCATAACACAGGAAATCCTTTTGAAAATACAACTTCAGAGACCATATTTTAGTATTCTTACAAGTACTCTAAAAAGAGAGAAAAAGATTAGGCACCACCCAATTGAATCCGACCTGAAACCGAGGATGTCGACTGGCTCCTACATGCCTGAGTTACACACTGATACAGCAGATAACAAGCATAATACTATAAGCACAGATTCGTTTATAAAACAAAACATAGTTCTTTGGGAAAACAAAAAGAGAGTATGGGTAAAGCTCTGGACCTACTGTAGCTAACTGGTATTTTGTCAATGTTTTAAATGAAGGCAGAATTTCACATTACATTACAGTACCTTAAAAATAAATCGAGAGTATCACCTTGCCTTTTACCAATAAATCACTCATCTCTTCACCTGAATCTGTTATAGACTAAAAATGAAACAGGAAAATACTGAAACTGAAGCACTTTTATGCTATTCTGATATCACGTATGTTACAATACTAACAGAGACAAACAAGCTACTCAAAATATTTTAGTTGTATTTTTAAGTTATTTAAACTTTTTTCAGCTTCATATACTACGTGCTGTTAGCATAGGAAATCTAGTTTCTCCTTTTAGAGATGATGGTAGACTACTTTTCCTACACTAACAGTACCTACTGTCTCAGACTAAAGCACAATTATAATTCAATTGTCTGAAATATGGGTTACACAGAGCATGCAGAGACTTCATCTGGACTATTCTTAATTATCAAGAGTTGAAAAATTCGGCTCTTCAGCACTGTTTGACATCAGCTCACCCCTGCAGGTGAAGTCTGAGTGAAAGGGAGATCAGAAAGTCAACCTTTAAACAACCTTAGTCTACATGAATGAAGTTAATAGGAGTTTTCCATGGACTTAAACAGAGAAAGGCGCAGGCCCTGGCTCCTTATGTAGGAAGTCTTTGAGCGGAGAATGGCTACACACTAACAAAAGAAACCTTTGGTACCCAGGGTCTTAAGCCCACATAATACCCCCGCATTCGTTTCTTTCTCAGCCTATTGGGAAAAAAGGGTCTGTTTGTTTTTCTGATTCAGTCGGCCCTTTTAGCTCTTTGAATCTAAGGAGTGCACTGTGAAAAGAAGAGCATCTTATCAGCCTGCTCCAGACCAGCGGGCGAACTCGCATCCGCACGCAAAACACAGCCCTGCCAGCAGCAGGCCTCGCCCCCGCCCGCTGCCCTCCGCTCCGGCGAGCACCCTGCCCAGCGCCCCACAAACACAGCAGGCCCCAAGGGGCCTTCCCTAACTAATGGTCCTTTCAGGTAGAGTAAGAAAACAGTATCTAATAAATTGGCTTCATTTACAAAGCACGCAGGAGCACCAGACAAGACCGTCAGCGTGGGCGTCTCCAGGGCATTTATTAAAAACAAACCAAAACCAGCACACACAATAAGCATGTTTTATTATGTATGGACTTGAACACGTCGAGTACAAGATACAAAGATAACTCCACGCACTGTTAGGCAGCATCTGCAGAGTGCTGCTGAGATAACACACCAGCGATTCCTATCAAAAAAAAAGATATGTCTATAAAATAAGGGAGGAGGAGAAAGGAAATGGCAATTTTTGTTTAAGCTTCAAGAAAATATGAGAGTCTAACTTTCACTGTCGCACCAAGAAAATATGAGAGTCTAACTTTCACTGCCGCGCATGTTAGCCATGCAGATCACACGCCGCCCCAACAACGCGCCGAGAGTTCAGAATTTCGAAGCCCATTTCCCCATTATTTCTATGAAACCCCTCACTGTGCGCGGCAGTGAGATCCAATCTGCTGTTCCTGCCCTTAATGCATTCTGACCCCGAGCAAAATAGGACAACTCCCCCAGTATTGCCAACTGAACCCGTCAAATTACTTCTTTCAGCTGCTGAGAGCAACAGACATGGAAGGATTTTTCCTCACCTGGAAAGAAGCTTGCCGTAGTATTTTTGGCATGCTTTGTCAAGCCGGGAGCTTGTCAGCGACCTCTACTCCATTTACCCTCTGGCACACAAACACACAGCACACTTTCCGATGAACTTAAAGCAAGTTTGTTTTTTTAAAATCGAAGAGTCAATGAAAAATAACACGCTTCGCAGTAAATAACGTAACATTAACGCCAACGTTTTTGGGGGGAAAAAAGTAAAAAGCGCAGCCGAAGAGACAACGGCCCAGCAAGGTTGTAACCCAACTATTTCAACTATTTTCTTTCCAGCGACTAAACAAACAAACAAAGAAATACCTCTTTCAGTACAGCTCCATAGATGCGAGCGCTCCGAGCTTATCAGAGCGATCTGTCTGCCCATAAAATGTCACAGAATTTCCCTTGTGCACTTCAAGGGGGGGAGAAGGGGCAAGCCTGAAGCGCGGCGGAGGATTTTTGGAGGGTCGCTTGAAAGAAATAACGCGCCGCGATCCTTTCGCCCATTTCACGCCAAGCGAAAAACATCCAGCCCGAAGTTTCGCTTGGCGGCCCGCGTTCCAACACCGGCTCCTTTTTAACTTGTTGCCGAGCTCAGCAGGGCCGGCAGCCGCCCGGCCCTCGGCGGCCCCACGCACGGCCCGGCCCGGCCGCTAAGGT